CCTGGGAAATCCCACTCACCTGCTGGCTTCTCCTCCAGCTCAGCTCCCAGTCACATCATGCAATCACGGACTGACGGGATCACAGGACTCTTGGAATTGCTTTCAGTTTTGGAAACACGCTGGGATTTGCATCACGACTTTTGCAATTTATAAGCAACTTAAGATCTCGGACACATCAGGTGTGGAATGAGGTGTGGGAACCCCTGAACTCAAGCTCTAGTCAGACAGTCTGTGGCTCTTTGAGACAGCCTGTGGGATGCGAAATATACAAAACATGATTTACGTCATATACGTAACATTTGCTATTCATATATGCTAAACATGATATACATCGTGTTTGGCTTTAGCGAACGAGAGGTCTATATCACTTCACGCTTTTTAATTTAACCTGGGTGTGCTTTTTCTTTTTAAAGTCTTCTAGGGGCCAAACAAGGACTGTGTGTGCATTCCATCCCCCTTACTCTCCACTCCTGCATTTGAGAAGTCAAACCAGGGGGTTTTTAGTTGGACATGATGTCCAGTCTAGCTGCAGTTCTATGTTTTGATAATATATGTAAGTTTCTGTTCTCTGTGGGAAGGACTTTCATGGGTTTTTTTTTACCATGAGAGAACAGGATATATTTTTCCCTTCTTATCTCTTTCAAAAGCAATCTGCGTTCAGATGGAGAAGACTGATTGAAAACTACAGGAGCCTGTAGAATAGGGATCTGGCTTATCAGTGAGTGTTTGCAGGTCACCAGGAAGATGGAGGCCTTTCTGAAGAATAGAATCAATGCCTTTCTTTTCAGTACTTCAGTCTCGTGCAGTATCGTTTAACAAGAGGGAGGGAAACAACTGCTTTTGAGATAGAGAAAATGTGATTATGTGCTCTGTTGGAGGAGTAATATTTGATAATTTTCCCTCTTAAAATGTTTTTTTTTGTTTAGAATGATATAATGGGGCACGAGAACTTCAGCAATTTAAGATGAATAGATTTAAATGTTTAAACAGATAATTGGGTAATATACTGATATTCCAGCTATCTCCCCAAAAAGCTTTTTATCGAAACATTCCAGACTGTTATAAGTATAATCCTCTTCCTTATTCGTATTTTTAGAGGAAATTTTAGAGCACGTGCTTTTCATTTGTTCTGTCTGGAATCGACTGAGTAAATCACCAGAGGATATTGAAGGGAAGCAGATTAGAAAGAGAATGAATGATTCCTATCGCTGCAGACAAAATGGTCAATTAAAGGTATTTTTAGTTTCTTGAGAAGCCTCTGCGCTCTCCTTGTTGGACAACTCTTCTCAGCTCTTAGGAGAGACAAAGGATACCACAGTCCAGTTAAGTGTCCTGGGGCTCTCTGGTTCAGAGCCCTGGTAGAGAGCAGGAAGGGGCCCTCTCTGTCCAGCCCAGGCTCAAAACCGAATGACTTTTTCTGGCAAATGCGTTCCTGAATTCAAGCATCCTCATCCACCAGCATAATAAAGATCAATATTTAAATGCGTCGCCTTTCAATTTGCACTTTAGGGCTTGTCATTAAGGTTAATTCACGTCAGTCTTGCCAATTTACTTTCCAGCGTCTAGTTTTTGGCGGAGCAGAATAAAGCTCACACTCTATATTCAGAACTGGCGGCAAAGTGGTTCAGCAGGGCGGCTCTCTGTAAAAGAACGAAATTAATAGACCGTTCATTTCGGTAAATGTTCCCCTGGTTGTTATTTACAGTTCTGCCACACTTCAGAAATGCTCCATGCTATTTTGAAGAGGCTGTAGTTTTAGTACTGTATATTGGAACTACTGAGGGAGCTGAAATTCAGGCCTCTGAACCCCAGCTCTCAGCTCTGTAATGCTGTCTGTAGGCGATGATGAGAAATAGACCTGTGTTCCAGGCCAGAAGGAGATCTCCCTGCAAGGGCTCAGGTGTGTGACAGATTCTTGGCCAAACAGCGCTGCTGCTGGAAAATACCAAACTGAATGCTCCATGGAGAATCCGTTGTGCAGCACGGCTCCAACAGTTCCGCACCAACCGGATGCCATCTCATCCCGCGTAGGAAATAACGGTGGATTGATGGATGCGGCTCATTTCAGCACACAAGGGGAATGCTACCCACTAGCAGTTTAATCTCTCAAACAAACACAGTATCTGCAGCAGCAATGAGCTCAAAGTGACAGACATGTGGGGACTGTATTGGAAGTGACCCTGGTGCAAGTCTGTTTTCCTAAGTGGTACAGTAGGAGTACCTCTTGAAAATACAGCCTTGCATTGTAAAGGGTTAAAATGCTACTGTGGTGTTTTTGCCCAGCCCAACTTTTCTTTGCTCCTGAAGGAGAAGCTCAATTAAAAAAATGCTTTAAATACATATTCCCCTTCCTGTCAATAAGATCCTGGTGTTCCTACTAGCAACTAAATGGGCTGAGCTGACTTCTCATAGTTATAACTATGAGAAAAGTTATAACTTTTCTTGTTTCCTTGTGTTCTTGTGTTGATTTCTAAAACAGCCTATTTATTCTACAGAGTGTAGAGTCTTTGAGGGACTGCTGTCCAGGTGTTCGCTAATCCTTGAGCAGTGAGCTGGCTAGGAGCTTCATGCTAATGATGTGACAGCACTGGGATACAGACTCTGCTCTGTGCCTTTCCTTTCATTTTAGTGATGTGTGATTTGCAAAAGGTCCCACATTTGGTGGGTTCTGCAGATGATACATTGGTTACAGATTGTGCTGAACAGTGCAGTGCAGAGCTCCGGTTTAAGAGCTTTAATTGGGCAGGCTGAATTTTCAGATATAATGGAAATGAGCTGCACAGAAAATGATCTCCTTTCTCTTTGCTCGCTGCAAAAAGTTTTTGGGGTGTGGGCTGTTAGGCAATGTGATTAGAAGCAATGTTGCAAAGATCAGTGACAGAGAAAGAATTGCCCAGCATGTTTCACTCAGACTGAGCAGTTTTCTCCAAGAAACCCCTTATATCAAACCTACCACCAAGGCATGCTGTGAGCAGTCTTTTTAAGACTTTTGAAGAAATAATCAGGCTCTTGGATTAGTAAATTCACCATTTAACCAGATAAGTGTGATCAGTTCAGCCTGAATCTGTTTGGTGACCTTCATTCTTCTTAAGGAGGCTCCAAAGGTTTTTTTCCTATACCTTCTTTATTGGACCAGCAAATCTGTTTATGCAGCAAGATCTATTAAAAGTAAATTCTGTGCCATTCGATTTTGCCTTTGATCACCTGATGCCTACTTGATTGGATCTTCGGATTGACGAAGAAAACTTTCGCACCTGATGCAGGAGTGATGGTGCTGAACCCAGCGGCCCTGAAAATGAGCCCTTGCTTAGCAGGCAGGGCGCCTCCTGAATAATGCACACGTCGCTGAGTGACACTTCATTTAAAGAGAAGTAGGGGGAGCAATGCAAGAATGAATTTTGCCAGGAGGCAGGGAAACGGCACAGCAGAAAGGAATTCAAGCAATTATCATCGCAGAACTGCTTAGTGCCCCTAAACTACTGTACATGGCACATTTTATATGAGACTGTGAACATGATCATGGCCAAAATAAAACCTCTTTAAAATTCTGGACTTCTGCAACATCAGCAGTTCCAGCTTTCTCTGGCCCTTGCTGTGTGGGTAGCTCTTCTAACTTCACAACCACTGTCTCTGCTGTGGCAGAAAAGCTATACACTCACTCACTCAAGTCACTTTTTGGCAGTTCAGATGAAGAAATTACGGAAAGTCGCTTAATTTGATGGTGATCAAGGCTGAGTAGAGAAGGGAGCTGTCAATTAACAATGTTAATTAAAACCGTGCGTGATGACCTTCCATCAGGAGCTGTGTTTACGCATGTGCTCTGCGGTCCGTTTTAAAACATCCTCTTTCAGTCACCTCGTTCCTTTGTGGTGCCGTGACTGACGTTTCTCCGCGAAGCGTCTGACAGTTCCAGTTCACCAAACTGATTAGGTGGCGAGTATAAAACCGCATTAGGGTTTCTGCTAAAAAAAAACCCGTTAATCGCACTTTTTCAGTTTTAGAAAAAGACTACACGCCTTGTTCCAGCTCTTAAGTTGTTTTTTTTTCCTCGCTCCCTGACAGCCCGCACCCGTGACGCGCCTGTTTGCGCCACGCGTCTAGAAATAAAACGTTTCAACCACCAGCGCAGCTTCAAAGCCCCAAGACGTCTCTGAAGCTGAGCTGAAGGTAATAGCAATTATGGAGTATTAAAATGGCTGAAACTCCCCAAAATATCAATTAGCGGTCACTTGTGTCTTGCTTGATCTGCTTTTGCTGCTCGTGTTGTATCGCGGCTCGGTACCGTTGAAGGGTTCAGCCCCGATCTCCGTGGAGAGCTCTCCCACACGACACGGGGCACACGGTTCAAAGCGATGTTTTTTTTTCTTTTTATTAAAGTGCTCGCAGCAAAAAAAAGAATACTTTGCCTTCCTTGCCTGATGATCCTGAGCACAAGTCGCTGAAGCAGATTAAATTAGAAAAGATGAGGTTTTACTAGAGAATCGATTGGGGGAAAAAACGGTCTGTGCTGCAAAAAAACAAAAACAAAAAACAATTAGGGGTAAAACTCAGTGTAAACTGTGTCCTGTTTTTTCTTCTTTCTTGAAAAACTTTAGAGAACCACGCATCTGCGCCCTAATGCAATTTACCAACTTCGCCACCCAGACTAAACCCTTGCAAGAGTAAAGCTACAATAAGATAACTGTTGCTTCTGCCGGATTGGGTGCGATGGAGAGTATTGTTTCCGAGACATTGAACAAAATGATCCCCACTTCAGCTGAACCTACAGTTCGAGTGTCCACAAACGCGTTGCAATGTAATGTTTGACATGCTTATGATGTCGATAGATTTGTTTTTTTAAAAAAATGCATTTTCACAACACGCATACAGCGTGTGCGGTTGCGGTAAACATCGTCATTTTGGCATCTGGGTTATTGTGATCTAATCCAGGCAACATATGTGTAAAGATAAACAGGGCAGGTATTTAAAGATATATAGCATATGGCATAAACCTTCTGATCCAGTGTTGTTTCCATGGCAACACAGGAATAGGTTTCTGAGCAGTCACTACCCGTTCTGTCACCGTGGCAACGTTTGGCTTCTATCCAGAGTTTGGGGGTATTTTGTTTCCTTTCGGGGAGCATTTCAGGTTGATCACCCGCAGAAGGCGCCACTCCACTTCAGCTTCTAGACAACAACTCCCCCCGTGTTTGCTCCCCTAATTCATTTCGACGAGTGCCTTGCGATTAAGGGATTCACTGCTGTGGCGGATGATGGGGATCCTTCATGTGAGATCTCGTTTCTGTCTTGTACCCAGTGGTCTGTTGGCCTGATGGTGCTGTAAGGCTCGGAAATGCAGGGTGTTTTTTTTTTTTTTGCATGTGCTGTACGGATTACGGTAATTAACCTGACATTTTGGGCAAAGAAAGTTCAAACGCGGCCGGGTGTAAGAATTCAACATCTGAAATGATGGCGACACAAACACTCTCACGCAGAAACACGAATGTGCAGGCCATCACATTCACCTGTAAATCCCTTAAATAAATACTGTAATTATGCTCCGGGTTCAAGGAAATATGACATCTTGCTATTCATGGTGAGTCCTGTCAGAGACAGCAGCAATAAATTACCATAATTTTCTAAACTCACACTGGCTTTAATTAATCAAGGGCTTTAATCAGCTACAGCAAAGAGGGCAGGAGAGCGGAGGTGTGGGGGGTGCCAACAGTGTGTCTGACTGGCGCAGCTGTCTTGTCCACCCTCTTCCCAGTAAACACACCCAGTGCATGAGCGACTCCTACTGAGTTAGGCTTGGCTTATTATTATTATTATTATTATTATTATTGCGAGGGCGGCAGGAAAACGAAATATTTCTCCTCCTGGAGCATCATTGGCTATGTGCCTGCTTCGAAGCACATCCCTCGGATCTGCCTGCGCGCCCCGTCGCCGTGCCCGGCCAGTCCGATCGGAACGGGTGCCGGTGGATGCGGAGAGACTGGAGAGGGGGAGAGGACGGCGGCAGTCACGCCAGCTTTGCCGCAGGGGCGCCTCGGTCTCTCTGGGCCGGCTCTCCGCCCTGCAGACAGATCGCCGGCACACCGAATTCGTCTCAAGCGCACTTGACGCTCACTCCGCTTGCGTCGTTATTAGGTCGACGCGACCCCGCCGCGTTTGGGGAGCAGAGCTGGTGAAAAGCCGTCACCCGTGTGATCAGTAATGGGCCGGAGGCGCGTTTGCTCCGCGTCCTGGTTTCCCACTGGCCGGCATCGTTTGGCCGGTTTCCCACTGTCGGCCGGCACACTACCTGCGGAGCTTGATTGCCGACAGCCTGCCAGCTTTACCTGGGCGCTTGACCTCTCCTGTGCCATG